TTGAAAAACGATATTTTTCCATTAATAGTAATTCTTAAAAAGGTATAGACAAATGTAATATGTTTCCTATAGCAATAACTTAACACAGCGAAAACAAGGGTTGCCTGGAATTGACAATGCTGCGTTCAATCAACATGATGTCAATACATTTCTACACGGATATTTACGAATAGGAGCGAATAATAATTCTTTTTGTTATTTTTTCAGGTTTACTTCGTTAAGTATTGTAAGCAGTTAAAGTGTTGATTTTACGGTCTTAATAATAAAAATTCTATTAAGAACCAAGAATTTCCACTAAATTTAATCGTAATGCCTAACCATTAAGGCTTTGTAGTTTTATTTTCAGCAGGTCGGAGAGAAGACATTAAATTCGTAAACTAATCAGTTATATATGTTTTTTGTAAAATCATTTATAAACTGGATTTGTCAATAGGGCAGTACGGTCAAATCGAAATTTATAAGCGATATGGGTAATCTGACGTTGCGTGTTTCAATTGTCATTTTTATGTCTATCAACTATAGATAATTTCATTGCATCGTAAGAAGAATAAGACAGCAGAATTGCTCTAATTTAATAATATTAGACACATTATTACAGATATAATTATTTCAATCAACTTCTGCTAATGAAATAACAACCATTACAATGATCAATTAAGCATTGATTAAAATGATAGAAATTTGAAAAGGGATCACGAATCCCAGAAAGACATACACATAACTTATTCGGGGAAATAAATCTCAAACCTTTGGATTATTTGCCCAATAAATTGGGCCACTTGACATTTGATTTGTCACAATGGGGATGACTTAATAAATATATAAGATAACAGGAGTTAGGTTTACTTACCGTCACGTATCGTCTTTTTTTAACAGAAGGAGGCCAAGGAGCAACCGAAAACGTCTCGGTTATTTGACCTTTTCCAGACACTTTATTATTTTTGCTTATCTGTACGTTCCTCGCGCATATGGAAATCGATCACGACCAGTAACTTATCTTCAATCATATATGGTCAAAATATAATTCTACTTAAATAATAGAAAATTTGGTGCGTTGATGGATTTCTTCATGATTATCAAAGGTGAAATCTTCACCATTTCCTATGAGACCTATCTCGTGAGTGCCTACACATAAGGGAAATTGCATTATTCAGTTGCAAATCCGGCAGGCACTTCAGTTAAACAGAGACCCCTCTTTGGTAAATCTGACCTAGTCCGATCAGTTGGGCCAGAAATTTAAAACAGACTTCTTAGAAAATAACAGTAGTTGAACAAATGGAAAAGGCTATTAAATCTCCTGCACTTTAACGTTAAACGGCTGAATGCAATATGGCTGTAATGGAGTTATAGTATAGTTAATGCTATATATTTTATTGCTGCCCTCAGACATAAAGTCTAGGTATGACTAGGAGCTTGCTCCGCAATATGAAATGTTTTGCCATTGTTCGCCGAAGAAGTGTGAAATCTATATCAAATAAAATTATCTATTCTTCAGAAAAAGTCATATAAAACCTAAGTATTTTGGAGATTATTTATATAGAAGTATTTTATTCTGTTTTCAATTAACGACGTTTCGAACTTTGCAGATTTCGTGGTACGGACAAATAATTCTTTAGATTAAAGGAAGATTTGATGATTTGGTGATTTTGGAATGTCAAGGTTGCATAAAACAGACGGTAAGTAGTGAGATTGGCTAGTAACTTATAAACGGTATAGTTATTGACTTATAAACGGTAAGTACATATAAATCTATTATCTAAATTACAGTCCAAAATAAACTGTCAAAATGATGCTATATTATTAAGTTTTATTTTTTATGAGAAAAGTTATCAAACGAGCCGACGGTTCATCTGATGTTAAGTGAATACCGCCGCAAATTGACATCTGCCACACCCCAGGGTTACAGATGCGTTGACAACCTTTTGAAAATTGGGCTCCGGCTACCTCACTCACCAGACGAAACGCGAAAGTATTTGTCATACTTCCACTTTACGCTGGTCTTCTGTGAGGTCGTGGTACTTACCCGGACGGGCCTGCCCATTCGTGCAACAGCCGAAGCTGCTGTGTGGCCCTACCACCGTTAAGTATATTATTAATAATTTATATAATTATCTAATATAATTAAGCATAGTCTTTATGTAATATAATTAAGTAACGTTTATTATTAATATTGAAAATAAAGATATGCAACATAACCGCAATACTGAATTACCTTTATTATCTTACTGATCTTTTCAGTATGCCGTACTTATGTAATCGAATTAGTGTTATTTTATTGTATTTTCACATAGACACACTTAAATCAATATTGACCCGTTCAACGTTTCCATTACTATTAGTTTATAACATTATTTATTTATTTCATCGTAAGTTACCTTGCACCAAACAATCTATAAAACATACACAATTTAACTAGAAATTAATCAAACAGAAAAGAACACGATAGAAATTACTAAATTTTAACATAACTAATTGGCGGTATCCTGTATATCCTGTATATTGTAATTTAACGTGAAACGTTTCACTGAAGGTTTCGTTTTAGCTTTACTTAATACTAGCCAATATTTAATTAATGGGTCGGTCGCTTAATTGAATCGCCAATACAAGAGAACGCTGGCGACATTGTATAATACTGTAGGCGTAAACGGCCTTTCCAGAAGTACAATGGTCGTTCCCAAAAGTCTGAAAATGGTATGACCGTATAAAACAAATTCAGTTATATTCATAGTTGGTTATACATAGTTTGCAAAGGAAATATTATGTGATTCATAGCAACCAGTGACAGAGCAAACAAGTTTGAGTATCTAAGTTCGCACACCGATCCCAACGGATTGGAGTTTTGATGAAAAACGTTGCAAAGTGGGAAGCGGATATGTACGCGACGAGATAAGGGACTGTAGCTTCGTCACAAGGCCATGGTACACATCCATTATTGCTTTAGTGGCCTTGCTGTTTATTTTTAGAAAAGAAAAAAATGTTGTTGTATTTGTTTCGTTCAAAAATGGAAAATATAAGCAATCGTCATTGGAAAACAGCTTGTATGAATATTCATCGTTAGAAAGATTTTCCTTTTTGACTGTAGATGATGACTATTTGATGTAAAATACAGATCAACCCAGTATTTTTGTTAACACTAAAGACAACGGTCTAGTGTTTTGGACATCCAAAAATATTATGTACTAGCATAAAATATTTTGTCATTATTGCATTCCTATAACCCTTATCGGAAGGGCAATTTTGTTCGTCAAGGCTAATCAGATCATAAATTGATTTAAAAACCGATTGAAACGATTGACAGTTCAAACTCGGTCTAACTATTACTTTATTAATTATACAATCGATTTCTTGATTTTACGCGAATATTATACATATGAAATGAAACTAGTTTCAAAGGACAGACTGAGTTGCTTCACGTCTTGACAAAGTTAACCCGGGCTGCCATCAATTATTTTTTTAATTATTTTTATTCCGATCTACGCAATAGGAGCATAAGGTATCTTGAGGTCTTGCACTGTTGGTGTGCTTGGAATAAATTTTATGAATTATGGGATCCCAAGCAGACGATAAATCCCAACCATCTTCTCTATAATTAAGATGTTTCTTGGTTTCAATAGCTTCGCGGATCGTACTTGTGAAGATTGAATGGACACCGACAGTTGAAGAAGTCATATCCATAGACCATCGCGAGATTCCGACATCCGATCCACCGTTGTGAACAACAAAAACATCTATGCTGTGCGCCGTATGATCGAAACAGACAGGCATGTGACCTACCATGAGATTCGGGGATACTTCGGCATAGGCATGAGTTAAATACAATCAATCATACACAAACTTTTGGGTGTGAGAAAGATCGCGGTGGATCCCCCACAATTTGACTATGGCTCAAAAAACGGACCGCGTCACAATACCATGGTGCGATACCATGCTTACCAGATTTAACGAAGGGGCGTCAAATTTGGTATGGGAGATAGTAACAGGTGACGAAACATGGATTTATTGCTATGATCCCAAAACAAAGCGGCCATCGATCGTATCGGTTTTTCAAGATCAGCAGAATGAACCAAAGCGGCGCGCGTAAAAAGTGCATCTAGACGGATGTTTGCATCTCTTTTCAATAAAACTAAACACGTGGCTACTGTTGCGTTAGAGAATCGGCATACCGTGAATAGTGATTGGTACACGACCATTTGTTTGCCCAAATTTATTGACAAACTATGTAAAAAAAAACCGTAAACGCTGTATCATCGTGCACCTCGAAAATGCTAGTTCCCACACGGCCCAGACTGACAAACAAATTATTTAACGTGAAAAACGTAGAATTTATGAACCATCCTGCTTACAGTCTTAACCTGGTACCTTGTGACTTCTTTTGTCCCTAAAAATTAAGAATCAAATACGCGGTCAACGATTTTCATCACCAAAAGAAAATGTTGAAGAGTATATAATATTCGCTTATCAGGTCACCATGGAGGAGTGGCACAAATGTTTTCAAGATCAAAGGGAGAATATTTTAAGAAACATTAAATTCATTTTTGACCTTTAATAGTATTTTTTTCATTCCGGAAACTTAATGCGCTCCACCAAAGATAATTTTTTTTGCGCATAAAATTGTTCAATGTGGTTGCTAGGTATATACTAACATAATGATTTTTATGATTTAGCTTAACAAATTGTACCAAGTTGTCATAAAGAACTAAAACTATTTAATTTGATAAAATATTTAAAACTAAAATAAAAAATACGATATTTTTATTAAAGAATCGTTAATATTTTGCAATTCTAGATAACAATACTTTTGTTACATTTTATAAGCAGATGATTGGAAAAAAGTTGTTTAATAATAAATAATAAGTAGTAATGCTAAGAAAAATAATTTAACAACTCTAAACAAAAGTTAGAGATGTCAAACCAGATACATAAACAAAAACAAACTTAAATTTAACGCAAGTTAAAGCTTCTGTAAAAAGTTTCTAAAATATTAATGTAATTAAACTCACTTTGCTCGTAATGAAAGCTGTCGGTCGTTGGGACATACATATTTATTAACTTTACTTTGATAGTTCATTGCACAATTTGTACGTATTTTTTGCGTTTACAGCGGGACAGGAAACAGAGTACCGCGCGTTCCCGCCTGTTGATTCCATCCAACTGTTGCTTCGCGCGTGGCGAAATTCTATTAATCGATATTCTATTCTTACAGCTCATAAAGATTGTGATATCGACAAAATATATTATATTTAATATATTACATAAATCTAAGTATTTTTGAATACTTTGTGACTTGTTTATTAGTACAGTTCGAATTCAAATAAATTGGATTCCAGGATCGATACATATAAAAATGTCGTTGAAACTTTTGAAAATAAACATATAGTTATACCTATAGTTAATTTCACTGTAAGTTATTAGAAGCCAAACATTTTTAATATTAAACTACAAATAATTTTTATTTCTGTTTTCATTTAAACTAAAACGATAAAAAGTAACATTATGACATTTAATATGGCAACATTCTACCCGCGGGCTGTACTTACTAATACGGTTAAAATGCTATAAACGATTAACGATATTAATATAATTTATAGTGAGAAACCGGAAAGAACATTAATAAGTTAAACTGTAAAATTTAGTATAACTTAACAGATATTTATACTTTAGTATACAAAACACAATTTTTTGACATAAAAATATAAAACATATTTTTATTACATACAATTTTTATAACATTTTCTCATAATTTATTTCTTTGTAGAAAAATTGTGGAAATATTTTCAGTTCTGCGGAATTCGGACTTGAGTCTTCCAGGAAGTGCTCCCAGTCCAGACACGAACTAACCTGATGAATTTATTTTTGTTTTTGTACCAAAAATTCACAAGTTGTAAATTATTCAACTTGAACTTCAGAAGATTTTATATTGTGAAGTAATTTTAAAATAGGCATTTAATCGCTTTATTATTTAAAAATATACATTAAACAGTTTCATAACAGGAGAATATTTTAGATAAATATAAAGTTTTACGATTCGATTGCGAAAGTTAACAAATCTAGTTAAAACGTTAACGCTTTAAAGTTATAACAAGTGTTTTTGGTTTTGATAACTGATAAGTCTAGAACATCACTAAAGTCACGCACTTGACAGTTTGTCGTTCAGTAATAATGGCGCACTTGCGAAAGGTGGATACATTCCTGTAACATAAAATTAAAGTTTTTGGTGTAGTGAAAAACAAAGTGCATTTTAATGCCGTACCGCAGGCGCTTCTCTGCTAAAATGCCAGATTACGATGACGAGGTGACCGTCGTCGACGTTTACGATTTGGCATCTGATATTGGCAAGGAATGCGAAATAATTATCGAGAAATACGGCCCGGATGCCGTAACGCCGCTGTTACCGAAAGTTATCAATGCTCTTGAATTGCTAGAAAATTTGGCAGTAAGAAATGAAAAGGAAAACCAGGCTTTGCACGAGTTAACTGCCAAGATTTCACAATTGGAGAACGACAAAATAGAAAAGGCTGAATATAGGCAACGCTTCGAGAAGGTAAGTTGTAAAGGTCATTGTTTCTTTGCGATGAAGTTATTGGTACGAGGTGTATACGAAACATTTGTTAGTTTCGAAACCAACTAATGTATTGGCAGCACTTGCAAAAGTATTGTACTCACCAGTGAACATTGCGCGACAATTGTATCAAGTGTGTGAATTAATTTTTACTATAACTATAGCTTAGCATTGAAATAACCATCAACTTCATAGTTGTTGGTATTTTAAAGTAAATTGAATAACAGATCAAATTATTTTTCTGTTTTTATCATAGACTACATTTATTTGAGTAGGTATCAGACAACAGTATTGTACTCTCAATTGTATAATTGGATTGAATGTATCCTGCATGCATGAGTTACATTGAGCTGCGAATACAATTATAGTCAAATATATGTTACTACTATTTTATTGCATGTTATGTGTATTGATTGTTATTTATATGCATAGTTTGTACATTTTATGTTGATCACACTGAATAAATAGACTAGTAGTTACCCATTTCTCAAGTTATATTAACTTTTGTCTTTTATAACTTGTTACCAAGCCTAATAACACACAGAATCACAGACAAGCTTTTTAGTTATCTTTCAACAATGATGGGTTATAGGAAGTAAGCTAATGTTATCTTCTTATATTCAGAACACTGCAGAAAGATCAGATAAGATTCAGACAGGAAATCTTTAAAGACTAAATAGAGTTCAAACCTGGTGTGTTTACTATCAATGACTACATCCTCACTTAACCTAAGGTGAAATATTAGAAAAGTGAAATAACTTAATATAAAGTAACAGAAAAACTGAATGAAGAAATAAAAATAATTATGATCAAGAACTATTAATATCTGTAGTGACATATCTGTGGTGACTTTTATTAAATTTATACCAGTTAAAATTGTCATAATTTATTTATAGATTATCACAAATCATCATGTTTGATAATACATGATCCAAACTTAAATTTTGGTAATGCTTTATACAGTGTGTTGTTACCATCGCGACAATAAATGAACACACGTCTAACGCTACTTGCCAATAATCATAAAAAAATATTATCGTTAAACAAAATCCATAATTAAAAAAATATTTTTTAAATAAACTAATTAAGTAAAAAAGAAACAAAATTTCTAACATCCTATACAACTCGCGCCACAGCATCTTATTACAAGCCTCTCCTTCTAACAGTATGTTTTGTCTCTTTTAAATTCATTCAACCCATTCATATGCTTTGTAACCTTTACAAATGAACTTTACGTTACAGTTTTATACGTAAGGGTGTTCTAAAATTCTTTGTTTTGGAAAATTTAATAACTCGGTAAATATTGATGTTTAAAGAATGTAAATGTTTAATACAATTTTAAAAAGTTATCCTCTATATGTGTGTTCATTTATTGTCGCGGTGGTAACGACACGCTGTATATAGACATCTCTTGTTACAAATATTCGTCATTGAATGTTATTATCTTATCACGTGCTCCGCGGTGAAGGAAAACATCGTGAGGAAACCTGCATATTTTCGAAATAATAACAAAAAAAAAAAAAAATTCGAAGATATGTGAAGTCCGCCAATCCGCAGTGGGACCGGGTGGTGGACTATGCCCTGATACCCTCTGTATAGAGGAGGCCTTTGCCTAGCAGTGGGACATGTATAGGCTGTTACTTTACTTTAATGCATATATGTTGTACGCTACAAAGGATGCACATTAGATGGAGCCAAGCATTGTGAATGCAATAAAACAAACATAGATGGCCAGATTTCCGCACTGTGAGGTCATTGGCCAATTAGCTTAGTCGGTAAAGCGTCTGTGTGCAAAACCAGATGATGCAGGTTCTACAAAAATTTAATATATAAATTTAGAAATAACCTATCATCATATGTGTCAAATGTTCCAACTTAAAAGTAGATACATGTGACAGAATATATGCAACATTATATAAAAATTGATTAAGTAGTTTCCGAGCCCATTGCAAACAAAGACTGTTATATGGAATTTTTATACACATAAGATAATTGTGTAAGCGGACCTCAGAGTCATCAAAATCATAGAGTCTGCTTAAAAATAGGGTGTTAGAAAGAAGTTATTACTGAAAGTAAATCATATTTATTGGTAACTAGTGACCTGCCCCGGCTTCGCAAGGGTTTAATGTATTACATATAAACCTTTGCGATTGAATCACTCTACCTAGTAAAAAGGTCTTTTGGGTAGTTTTAAAGATCTATGCATACATTGGGACAGACAGACAGCGGGACAGACAGACAGCGGGACAACTTAGTTTTATACTATGTAGTGATTACTAAAGAAAATGCCTCTTCTCAAAAGCTTTATAGTCACAGTGTTCCTGCACTTTAAATGCAGCATGTGTTATTGATTATGTAACTCTTCTTTTAACTTAATAGTTATTATAATTTTCAAGATATATTATTTAACAAATCCTAAAGTGAAAATTGTATGTGTCATTGTAATCCAACATTTTACTATCGGCCTTTAATGCCTATCTTTGAATGGGTCTTCCCTTTAGAATATACATCTTTATATCTTGGCATTGTCATATTGATTGATTGATGTTTTACATTTTTCAATCAAACTTGCACTCTAAGGATTAAACTGCTGTTAAAAATAATTGCATAAAGTTAAAGCAAATAAATATTTTAGGTATATGGCTTATTAGTTATAATTACACAGTTGATAATAAAACATATGTATCCATTGAAGGATAAATCATTAAAGTTTGAATGTTTATAAAATTTACAACTAAAAAGGTTGCTTTAATTTGTTACAAAAAGCAAAAAAAAGGGGGAAAATGTTTTTTTTTTAATAAATATATAGCAAAAAGTGACTAACACTAAGAAAGATGGAATGATGCCTAATTTGTATTATGTGCTGCTTTTTATTTCCATAACTTTTTTAATATAAGCAGGTTTTACTTAATTCAATCAAGTCTTAAGATTTTACAATGCTGTTTAGAAGTGGGCGGGCAGTGATGCCTTTATCCTACTCAATCGTTTTACGATGATTGTACTAATGTCAAACGCTCACTGCCCGCGGCGAAATAAAACGCGGAATCATCGAGTGTTAGACATTAGTGAGGTCGATTTGACTTCACCGGCTTCGAAGATTGACGTCATTCATGGTACAAAAGGAACGCTGCTGCACTTTTTCCCTCTTCTTTTTGTTAATTGTCGTAGCCTGTCGTTGTGCGGGGCAAACGCCTTTTCGTCGGTCTGTCGATCGATCGTCGCGCACGCTAAACTGAACTCTATTCTTCAGGAGTTAGAGGCCATCGAGGAGCAATGGCGGACCGAGTCTGCCGAGCTGGTGACGGCCGTGGCGCGGCTTCAGGACGAGAATAAGCGCTTGAGGCGAACTATCAACGCGCCTGCTGACGGTGAGTTTCTAATTTATACCCTCTCGCATAGGGAATAAGGTTCAGAGCGGTCTCTGGCAGTTTCAAATTCGATATTTCCCGTATTCATAGTTTAAATTTGCTACGTAATTGTTATTAAGCAATCGGAAAGGGCTCAGGTGTTTCGGCTTGATAAATTCAGCATTTCATTTGAATAATTTTGATTCGAGTGATATTCTTAAGCAGTAGTGCCCCCGGGGCTTAAATTGGTCGCCTTAATTAGGAAACGGTAGGTGGGTATATTTGCTTGCGTATCCTTCGCAAGACTGTATGACGGTTATAGTTATTGTCCCGTTCATTATTGCTATAGCGTGATAGGTTCACGCTATAGCAATAGCGTAGCGTGTAACAATGTCCAATAAAAAGCCTGTTATATCACGAAAATAACTTTTAAAATTCTATACTTTGTGGTATCAGTACGATCAACTTTGTACAATACAAACCCGCTTTGGAATTGTTATAGTCGATTTATTAACGATGCAATAATTTACCTAATTATGGGATAGTTGCAAACTGAACTAGATGATGGAATTGCGTAGAAATTTCCACGCGGAGTCGTATATCACATTCTTAATAAGAACGTAGGTATCGTTCTCTAGACGAATGTGTCGTTTAACGCGTTGGGCGTTTTCATACCTCTAGAAAAGTGGCCGAGTGAAAAAACAATTGATATCAATAAATAATACAGAGTTGACAGTGATTTAATACAGGTAAGAATACTTCATCCAAGCCGTTCACGGTTAAAGTACATTTTAGTTACGTTTGTTACGTTACGTAGTTCATATTGTTTTGTTTAATTTCATTCAAACTAGAAAAGATTATGACCGTCATTCACCTTTCTTTCTTTACGTACGTCTTACCAACCTCGGACTTGGTTATAAGATGGGAAAACCTGACCTACATCTGTTGTTAAGAACAAACTTTTCACGGCCTGTGTATGGCCGTATTTCCTCATGAAACCCAGAAAATCCTTTGGACACTTAAAATATTTCCACATCTCCCAATTTTCAAAAGGTTGTCAACGCATCTGTAACCCTCTGGTGTAGCAGATGTCCATGGGCGGCGGTATTCACTGACCGTGAACTGAACATCAGTTGACCTGTCTGCTCGTTTGGCAACCTTTCGCGTAAAAAAAATCTCACTTTAAATTGAATACTTAAGTGAAAAAGCCTATATTTTCAACCAGCGAAGCGCTCTGGCTTCGCCCAGATGCAGACGCATTATTGTAGTATCTGCCACATATAATTATTTTCATCGAACGAATATATGTATAAATATTATATACATTCACAAGGTCAAAAGTTTTCAATTACAGTACAATGCATTCTGTTTTTTGTTATATTATTATAGTTGTAAGTAGAAGTAATGAAGATACATTTTCAACTTATCACGAATAAAACATGTTTGTTTTTTCGAGCTATATTCTTGATAAAATATGAATGTTATTGGTTTAATTACCGACGACTCGTCGGCGCAGGTGCCAAGGTATTGGCTTCAGCGTCGGGGGTTGTGGGTTAGATTTCCACACGGTTCAAGTATTGTTTGACCCACAGATAATTGTTCCGAGTCTTGTGTTTGTTTCCCATGAAAGGCTGACGTCAGGCAGGTGGCCGGTCGTTAAACCATAGCCAAAACCGTTTACAACATGATCCATATGTTATACTGACCCCACATTGGCGGTATAAGAGCATTAGGATGATTATTGGTTGTTTACTTTTTGTGACGGTGATAACTGCTATAAATGTTATCGTATGTATAAACACAGACTTTATAATGCAAATAATGCAGTACGTTTACCTCAAAAATCACAATCCTCAAAAGTCTTAATTTCTAAGCGTTGTTCTGAATCCGGTTGAATCTCTATTTTACGGATTTAAGTAATAATTGACTTAACTTCACAAGCATTTAAAAACAAACAGCAGCGGAGTATAATATGTATGTGTTTATAAAACGCGGAACAAAATATAGTAAGTCTGCGTCACGTCACAGGTTACTAAGTGGTTTCATTCCTAGAGCTCGTTATGTATTGAGAGTTCGCAGGTCATTGGAGAAGTTAATATTTACCAAATAAGGGTATTAATTTCACTACGCTGCATCTGATATGAATTGTTGTTTTAAACATAAATTTAACACAAAAAGAGACACAAGAAAATCGCAACTAAATTACTTTTAACTAAAGAAGATACAGTGTAATATTTTTATGAATTTATATCATTATACCTTGTTGCCCGTACAAATAATTAATTTATATTAAGCTGTACTAAAAAATTTTTAATTCCAAAAAGTAATAAACATTAGGTCTGCATTATTTCACGCTAATGCTCAAGAAATAGATGTTACCTCCTTTTTTCCATTTTATAGCGTTAAGTAGTTAATTCGTTTATGTTATGTTTTACGTTAATTTTTTGTATAACATAATCTTGTAGTTTGTTAAATTTGAAGCACATCGGCTGGGGATATATCGCGGCTTGTCGAGTTATTATAATACTTTTTCGTTCCTCAGGGTTATATTTATGCATATTCAGTACTCACAAGGAAAGATTTAACTCGATTTTATTTATTATATATAGATTTGAGATCTTTTAAAATTTTATGCTGTAGTACCTTCAGTATTGTATACCGCTTGCGCGCAGGCACGTTCAAAATCATCGCAATCTAAGTCATAACCGCAGAAAGCTGTTGCGAAACAATCATTCCAGTCACCGTTAAAGGAATTTGTCTATTCTGCATTTAAGTCAGCCGGCAGAAACGCATATATTCCGTTAATCGATGGATATTTAGACAATTTGCGGTGTAAAAGGTAGGCAAAAAATATATAAGATTGTTCTGACGACAATAAAGAATAGTAAATCACCTAAATGCGATGATATAGACTTTCATAAACTAAATAAAATACTATTCCTAATTTTACCGTCAGCCTTATAAAACCTTTATCTTTCGTCCATATTATCTAAGATCTATTCGAATCGTGATGGTAGTTTAAGACAAAAATTGAACGTGGTGATATCGCTACTTTTCTCATGCAGTACATTGTCCATTAAGAAATTATTTAGCGCAGGTGCATAATTAAATAGATAGATAACTTTGCCAAAATTATATGAATACAGAAAAAACATTTAAATAAACTTCAATTTAAATGTTAAAAATACTTAGGTTAATAATACACAAGAACTTGAAAACGATTATAAGCTCAGCGTGTCCCGGGAATATTATTTAATAGAAATAATATTGTTATGTGATAGAACCGTGATAGCTCAGTGTCCGGGCGCTCGCCTTTAATTCAATATACTCGAGCAACCTGAGTTCGATCCCCGGTGCCGGCACCAATGAAGTTTTTAACTTTAAGTGCTGACTTATTACGTGCTCCGCGGTGAAGGAAAACATCGTGAGGAAACCTGCACATTTTCGAAATAATATCAAAAAAAAAAAAAAAAATTTCGAAAATATGTGAAGTCCGCCAATCCGCAGTGGGGCCGCGTGGTGGACTATGCCCTGATACCCTCTGTATAGAGGAGGCCTTTGCCCAGCAGTGGGACATGTATAGGCTGTTACTTTACTTTACTTACTTTATGTGTGATCAACGTCTAATTGCGTCGTCTTAGCCATGTATACAACAGCAATAATATCGTAGTCCGTTAACAATAATTAACGAACTGAAAAAAAAGAAAGAAAGAATAAATCAACAGAAATGCAACTCATCATGTTGTTGGAACAGCAAGGTGTTAAAGGCATACGTTGTTCGCAGGCACCAGCGCCCCGCCATCGCCGGCGCGCGAGCACGACCAAGAAGTGCTCTCGCGTCTCAGCAGCACAGCAGAGAAGCAGAGGGCGACGCTCCGTCACCAAGAGCTTCAGCTGCAGGAGAAACAGCAGCTCATAGAGAGTGTGAGTCTTCAGTCATTTCTTCATTCTTTTTGCGTTTCAGTCTTCGTCTTTTTCGTACAGACGCCGTCAATACCTGCCGCGGTACCCGCTTTTATGAAGCATAGGCAAAGTATACATACGAGTATTTAAAAAAGATAAATGTTACAAAGGTGTGTGTATAGAAGGTGGGACGAAAGGTTGAGAGGCAGCCTCGCACTGGCCATCGCAGTGTAGGACCACCCCCCACTAGATTGAGTGACGATCTATGCAAACAAAGGCCTTTGTAAAACAGTGGCCACAAACAGGCGTAACCGGCTAACTCAAGTGTAAATAAAAGTCTCGGTGGACGGATATTGGTAATAACTGGAGGGTAATGGGTGCATTCCACAACGCGTTTACAAGGTACACCAGGGCGTTCCAGGGCGGTACTCGCTGCATTAATACAGTCATCGGGTATCACGGTCCGTACCGAATCTCGATCACCCGTAGGTGACATTTTTGCTTGTTTGAAATAACGTACGCACGGAGGGCCGAAGCTCTTTTAACGGTTTACGGTCTGAAATGAAAAGCATCAGTTAAAGTAAAGTAAATTAAACAATGCTTTCTAACAATCTTTATTAAAATTGTTACTTCTTTCCGATCTTATACGCTCCGTTCCTCCTACATATAAACCTGCAGCGTTGTCGATATTTGGTAAGCCAGGATAGAGATAATCCATCCATCAGTCAATAGATTCTTCTTAAATCTATATAACTAATCTACATATTATCGATATTGTCTGGGCGCACACTTTTAATTAAATATAAGCAACCTGAGTTCATTCCTGTACCGGCACCAATGAAATTCGTGAAATGATTATTTTAAGTGCTGACTTATCACGTTTTCAGTGGTGAAGGAATACAACATTAAATACTAATTTAAATATATCCAATATTTACAACATTCAATTTAACTATAATACATATTATTATTTGATAAAACTAGTCCACGCGGCATGGTGCCAAGAACTCTTATCTGCATTTCCTCGCTGAATAGGTTATGCTTAACCTTTGAGCGAGAAAAGAACCAGCCCTCTTGTCACCATCGGCGATAATAAGTCTGAGACGTAAACCTTTTAAAATTCGATGTACGGGGACCCCACGAGCCTAAAGTTTCAACAGCAAATACACAATCTGAACATAGAGACTCCAGATTATTAGTCGATTCTGTTATATGTCCATATTTATATACGCATAATAATATATTGTTGGAAAAACGGGACCGCGTATTTTGTCCCGTGCGAACGACGGTGCAATAAATTTGGCGGACAGGTTACAGCACTGCTTTGCGTTCAAAGGCAATTAACCTATTTCCCAAAACTAACTGAATCTACTCGTTCCACAAATATTGGTCTCAGCCTGGAACCTAAACGAAGTTCAACGAACGATTCAATAATAAATATAATTCATTAACTGTTACAATAGTTCCTCTTTGGGCGAATAACTTAGGCGCTTTGGTTCTCAAATCCATTGTTTTGTAACAAATATAATTTTTAAGAAGTCAATTTGTTTCTTCCCACGCCTAATCTGAATCGCCCGAGCAGACGAATTTAAAAGCGTGCTCATTTAAACTACTTATTACGCTTATACTGAAAAGTGTTTAAAACTATTTATTTATTATCTGTCCCAAGACTAAGGACGTTGTAAAGTATTCGAATCGTGGGAAGTTTAAAAATAAAATACTTGAATATTCAGCCATTATTCCGAGTTCGGCGCATTCCGCTACTTTTACACTATTCGGCCGAATACAGACTACTTAAGTAAAATATTTTATTGTTCTCAAATAATAAGTAAAATAAAAATATTGATTAATTTATTAACTTGTTTTTCTTGTAATTATATATCGTAGTAGTCAACATAACTAAAGTAATAAGAATGTATATTACTTTAGTATAAGTACTTAATCAACTTCTTTGTTATAAAAATTAACAAAAGCTATAAGAAGCCTATCAATTATCCTTATGCACATTGTTTATCACAATTAATATTTAGAAGTTGGAGATTTTGGTGCAAATGATGACTAGTTTTACCGCAATTTTAGGCAGCACTTTTTTTTTCCGATGTTACACTTCGGACCACATTTCCCATCGTTCTCGAAGCTCCAGGATTATTCGATATTCTAAGTGTGGTCGAAATTACTATTCGTTAAGTCTACAAATGCTTTGTGATAAAATAGTTTTGTTTCATAACGCTCGTATATTCTCCAGTTGCTTTCAGCATTTCGCGTTCCTTTGACACATGGTATCTCTCCCAGGCGTAACATAAATTTATGACGTCAGCAGACATAATACAGACAGTCTCGATAATCGATAACTTAACCGTGACTTATTTATATTACCGTACTACTTATACTTAAGACTGAGAATAGCTCCTTCAGTTTAAGAATACTTTATAAATTTATTTTTTTTTCTCCGAAGGAAAATCCCTCGTAGTTCTGCTCAAATTAAACGGAATAGAGAACAAATTGAATTATTTCTTCGTAAATTTTATAGGCATTCGCTGCCTTACTTGAAACTGTTGCTTACCAAGTGATTTTACCAGCACTTGCACTTTATCACACGTAACGATTCTTGTTACTTGCAATGTTCCCTATAAATCTAATTTGTGTAGGCTCGAACAACTCAGAGGGGCTTAGTTAGTTCAACATCGGGAAGGACTGTATGTATATTCGTTAAGGTTCTATTTTGAAAAATTCGCCGCGCTGTATTCCCTTCAGTATCGAATCCGATAAATCGATCCATGGACCATGCACGTAGCATGTAACTGTTCGCGTGCCTTTAATGGCGCTGAACATTTTCGCGTCTGTATCGAACAGAGCAAACGAACTTGAACGCAGTAAGGTCCGATTTACTTTGCTCGTTCGTTTTGACGCGTTTTGTTTTCCTAAAGGGAATATTCGTTTCGCGAGAATAACTCGCCCTGCCGTAATATAGGCAGGAGAGCTAATTAGCGGATTTAATTATGGCTCCGCTGAACAAGTTTCGGCATTACACGGAAAGAGCTTTTCGAAAGTCAATAGTAGAGCCGCGTTTGGAAACTTCATTTTGCCAAATTTTATTTCTGCTAAAAGCCTATTTCTCTCATTGCTGCGGTGCAATTTATGGTATCGTATTATGCATTAAATTTATAAAGATTAATTTAATTGGTGTTTTTTATAATCTTTCATATAAAAAGTATAGTTAAGTAGTGTAATTGACTTGTATTGCTTTCGTTATTGCAACAGGCAGCTTTGTGTTGTTCCATTTATGTCTCATCTTGCCGTCGAAAGAGAATTGAATTGCACATGAGGAAAATAATGTTATTGCCACCAAACAAAATCACGACTTCTAAGCAATGTAGCGCAATTTTATATGAGAAATGTGATAATTAATCATATTATTATGACAATCAGACCTGATTTCGCAAACATATTAAATTTATTTTTGAAACATTTAATGTATCTAATATTTCGAATGTCCTAGCCAGAATGTCGTTTATTGCGTGCATACCAGTAGATGACTTTGTGGTTCAATTGGGGTTCTCATATTAGTGACGGAGAACCCACTACTGTACCACAAATTATAGCTTTCAAAATATGTGATGTTATGCGAACTAAAATACTATTCGCCATATTAAAACCTTTTTTTTATTCTTTGTTGTTCGATGGGTTAAAAGTTCGCCTCTTATATATTCATCGTAAATTGGATTCGTAATGCTTTCTGACGCAAACATTTTAAGTTAATTTATTGTTTCGTGAAAGAAAATAAAGGAATGTTAGGAAAAAGTAGGCTAATTTTATAACATAAACCAAACAATTTGTATAACATACTTAGATGCGATGTGTAATGATAAGCAACGTAGATAAACGTAATATTTGAGACCGGCTTTATTTGGCCTTAAATATTATCGATTCGACTGGTAAGAGAAATTTGAGATGTCCATGAGGGATATTGTGTATGAGGTTAATCTCTTCGTTACTTTCCATCTTCTCACATAAAAATAGTACTCATGATTGTGTTCATTGGTTAGACGCCAACGCAGACTATGACTTTCGATTACATTTCTGTCATGTTGAAAGTCCAATGCAAGCCCAAGTGAAGTAGTAAAGTGACAGCACATATATGTCCGACTGCTGGGCAAAGGCCTACTCTGTACAGAGGGTATTTGGATCCGCTATCCATCGCGGATTGGCGGACTTCACATATCTTCGAAATATATTTCGAAATTGTGCAGGTTTCCTCTCGATGTTTTACTTCACCCCGGAGCACGTGATAAGTCAGCACTTAAAATTAACAATTTCATTGTTGCCGGCACCGGGGATTGAACTCAGGTTGCTAGAGTGTATTAAATTTATTTATTTATACTTCATTATTACACCTTACGCTAAAGGCTACAATGGGCGGACTTAATGCCTAATGGCATTATCTACCAGTCAACCCTTGTCATGGTGAAAAGTAGATGGCAGGTACAACCGCAGAGTAAATATAAGAAATAAATAAGCTGTCACGGCTCTTATAATAAATGCGAGCCAGCTTGTAATGAAAAAAAAGTTTCGTTAAATTAAACGCGCGGTAGCTATGCGGTCTTTTATATGGTTACGTGTTGGGGAGAAATATAATATGTATTAACTGCCCAAGCGACGTGTGTTGCTGGCGGGGCTTGTCTGCGGAATAAATAAAATCCGAACCGCATTGCATGTTCACTAACCTGCCTCAGCGCCGCGTGGTGAACTTTTTTCTCAATAACAATAGGGCTCTCACCAGCGGGTGACTCGCGTGTCGCGAAGGTTTTTCTCAGATGGAATTCTAAGCCAAATTTTTTCTGTTGTTTTTTTTTTTTCGAACCGAATGTTTTTGGCCTGTTATCAAACTTTAACGTGCTGATATTGATCACGGGCTCAGCGGTGAAGGAAAACATCGTGGGGAAGCCTGCACATTTTCGAAATATAACAAAAAAAAAATTTTTTTTCGAAGATATGCGAATTTCGCAGTGGGGTCGCGTGGT